TTACATTGCAAGGCAGCAGGAGTTCTCCTAGAAACAGGGCAAATCATCAGAGTAACAACGGCTGCGAATGCAAAGGTTGGTCTGTGGAATACAAATAAAGTATTGAGCATGAGGTTCTGCCTCATGGAGCTGGCGCTTTAGGAAATGTGGCGATAAATGCACTGATAAATCCAAGGGAATGAATGCTGTTGTGAAAGCCCTGATGAAGGCTAGAAAGTGTCCAGTAAGTAGGAATTGTACCGCTTGGTCAGGCACAATGAAATTAAATAGAATTTGCTTTAGTGAAATTGCATCAAGGTTGATTAAAGGGGCTCCTGGGGAAAGGTGCTGATCGCTTTTCTCTGTGAAGCCACTTAAGTAAGTGAGTCCCCGGCTCACTGTGCCTCATTCCCCCTCCCCTTACCCCTCCACTCATTTCCATGTCCTCCTGCTCCCCCTTCTCATCATTCTTCTCCTTTTATTTCTGCGAGGCTTGCCTAATTCCCCTTGGCCTGGGCAACTTCATTTTGGAGTTTGTTCTGCTTTGGTTTTTTATTCTGCAAAAAGTGCTGTGGAAACAGAATGACTGACAAAACGGAATGAATCCACCTCAGTTGTCTCAGGTGTGAATCAGTTATACCATCCACATGCACCCCTCTAATAATAATAATAATAATAATAATAATAACCTCTAATGAAAGCTTTTAGGAATAAAATACAATATGCATTGATAACCCCTTGATAAGGGAGCCCACAGGCATATATGTTACTCAAGAGTGGAGTCTTTTAAAAGCATGGAGCTAGCAGCAGAGAGTTATTTTCAAGTAGCCTGTTACTGAATAATTTTCTTCAAGTCTCAACCATGCAGAGCTATTATGGTGTGTGTGTGTGTGTGTGTGTGTGTGGAATCCTGCTGAATCACTGAGATAGTGCTTAGTTTTCAATCTAGAGGAGGTAGTTTAACTAATATTGCAGCTTGTTGTACAGTGGTACCTCGGGTTAAGAACTTAATTTGTTGAAATTTGGTCAAATTTGAAGCTTTCACTGCTAGGCCGTATTGCCGCGATAAAAATGAATGTATTGCCTAGAATGTTGTTCTTGTTTCAAACTTTGCAGATCGTGGACAAAATGGATTGTTTCAAGAGGTGGCAGAAAGATATCTCTAAATTTGTCTGGCAGGGCAAGAAGCCTAGAATAAAATTTAAAATACTAACAGATGCAAAGGAAAGAGGTAGATTTGCCCTGCCAGACCTTAAACTTTATTATGAATCAGCAGCCTTTTGCTGGTTGAAAGAATGGCTACTTCTTGAAAACACTGACATTTTGGACTTGGAAGGTTTTAATAATGTATTTGGATGGCATGCATATCTATGGTATGATAAGGTCAAAGCACATAAAGCATTTAAAAACCACATTGTCAGGAAAGCGCTATTCAATGCTTGGTTAAGATATAAGGATTTGTTAGAAAACAAAACCCCAAGGTGGCTGTCACCAATGGAAGCGAAAGCCTTGAAAAAGGTCAATATGGAGGTCAAATGGCCGAAATATTGGGAAATTTTGGAACAAGACGGAGATAGACTGAAATTGCAGAGTTTTGAAAAACTAAAAACAAAGTGCGAGACTGGCTTCATTATTATCAGATAATGGAGGCATTTAAATTGGACAGGAAAATTGGCTTCCAGGTGGAAAGATCCAAATTAGAAACAGAATTGTTAGAACCCAAAACTAAGAATTTGTCAAGAATATATAACTTGCTGCTGAAATGGAATACTCAAGATGAAACGGTAAAATCGGCTATGATTAAATGGGCACAGGACGTTGGTCACAACATTATGTTTGCTGACTGGGAACAGTTATGGACCACAGGTATGAAATTTACGGCATGTAATGCCTTAAGAGAGAATATTATGAAAATGATATATAGGTGGTACATAACCCCAGTCAAGCTTGCGAAAATCTATCACTTGCCCGATAACAAATGTTGGAAATGTAAAGAAACTGAAGGTACATTTTTTCACCTTTTGTGGACGTGCCCAAAGATTAAGGCTTTCTGGGAAAAGATATATAATGAATTAAAAAAGGTATTTAAGTATACCTTTCCTAAGAAACCAGAGGCCTTTCTCCTGGGCATAGTGGGCCAAATGGTGTTAAAAAGGATAGAACTTTCTTTATGTATGCAACAACAGCAGCAAGAATACTCATCGCTAAGTATTGGAAGACACAAGAACTTCCCACGCTGGAGGAATGGCAGATGAAACTTATGGACTATATGGAATTGGCGGAAATGACTGGTAGAATCCGGGACCAGGGAGAAGAGTCGTTGGAGGAAGACTGGAAGAAATTCAAAGACTATCTTCAGAAACACTGCAAAATTAAGGAATGTTAGAGCGATGTTGGACTGAAAATAAGTGGTTTCCAGCTGTACAGGTTAAAGTTAAGGATAGATTAAGTTTAAAGATCAAGATTAAAGATGTTTAAAGAAATGGAAATTTGATAATAAAAGGGAAAAATTTAAAGGTATATAACATTAAGAATAAGGATTAGGCTTAAAAAAGTTGAAGTTATATATTTTAACATTTTATCAAATTAAAAGATTGGGTTTAAAAAAGTGGAAAAGAAACTGCTGGACAAATAATGTAGATTGGAATACAAAAGAGGGAGGTATGAGGAAGTCCAAAAAATAAGTAATTTAAAATTGGGAATGGAAAAGAGAGTTTGTTTTTAATTGTTACATTTTGTGTTTTTATTGTTAAATTTTGTATTGTGTTTTTTTTCTGTGTGTGTTGTTTTTCTTTTTTCTTTGTTTAAAACCTTAATAAAAAATTATTTAAAAAAAAAAAAAGAACTTAATTTGTTCCGGAGGTCCATTCTTAACCTGAAACTGTTTTTAACCTGAAGCACCACTTTAGCTAATGGGGCCTCCCACTGCCGCCGCGCGATTTCTGTTCTCATCCTGAAGCAGAGTTCTTAACCTGAGGTACTCTTTCTGGGTTAGCAGAGTCTGTAACCTGAAGCTTCTGTAACCCAAGGTACCAGTGTATTGCCATCTCACTGCATGGCTATCTTAGCATTAAGGAAGCTTGGGTTTAGCAAGGAGAGAGCATAACCAGGAGCCCAGAGTCACACAATATGGTTAGCTCAGCCTTGGCTTAGCTCAGTGTGCCGGGAAGTGAAAAAGACCAGGGAGGAGCAAAGCTATCACAAGGCTCCTTTCCAGGAGTCCCCACGTTCATGTGGTCCCAGTAAGCCATGGTTTGGCTTAACATGTCATGCGCACTAGGCCCGAGACCTGTTTTTAATCTCTGCACAGCACTTAGCAAACTTTAGGCATTAGAGGATGATAAATAACTATGTAGGCTGATGAAATCTTACAAATCAAGTGAAACCACTTAGGGAATAAGATTTTAGGGAGCCTTAACAAAAATTCACAGGGAAGTGCTAGGTCGGTGTGTTGCAGCCCTGAAAGAAGCAAATCAAAGAAGCTAGAGATTGTTAGGAAAGGAATTGAAAATAAACCTCCACGTAAATATCTTGTGCCCACTTCACAATATTGTGTGTGATTCTGCTTATTCTGATACGTGAGCAGGTAATGGGGAGTGTGAGACTTTTTTAGTGTCGAAAGAAAAAAAGACAGAGGTTAGAATGTGTGATCCATATAACGGAGAAGTGGTTCTCAAACCGGTCACTAGTCACAAGGATAGCCACAGAAGATTCATAGTAAAAGCAGATGCGGTCGTAGCCCAGTGTGATTCTGTGTGGTAAGCCATTGCATTGGTAGACTCATCAAGTGCCTTTGGGTTTTTTTGGTTTTTTAAAAAAGAATTTCACAGAGACAAAAATAGAAATGTGATTAGAGGAAAAAGTACCCCTATCTCAACGCACCAGAACTTGTGGTTCGTTCCGTGAAACTGATTCAATGGCAAGTGTAAGGTAAACAAAAGGATGTATTTCTCTCCTCAACTGGGAGCTAACCTCTGGAACTCCTTGCCACAGTAGGGGCAGTGACCGCCGTTAATGGTGCACAATTTAAAAATAGAATTTGGGGGACATCTGTCTCCATCCTACACAGACTGTGAGTCTGAATGGATAACAGTTGGAAATTGCATGCTGTCTTGGCTACTCCTGTGGCCTGAACCTTCATTGTAATTCTTATGTTCCTAACCAACTTTTGAAATATATACATATGTATTTTAAAACATGCACAATCTTGGCTGCAAAGTTAAGAACCAATTGTTGGCAAACTTGATCAAACGGAATAGTTTTCATGTCCTCTGCGCTATTTCACAGTTGGACACACTTTTGTCCTTTCCTGTGATGCGTAAGATCCTAGTTTTGAGGCATATAAACAGTACCGCTTTCGCCCGGACTTAGCTGGAGCGCCATTTTCTACACATCCCTTTGGCCCTTTACCCTTACCGTTCCCTGTTAGCAGTTGTCGAACGAACTAATTATTTTCACAGCTTGAAATGTATTAGAGCTCTCCTTGGAAACTGTTTATTTTATGGGCACTCTTTGATGTCATGACCTAAACTTCGGCTCAGCCCTCCTTTGCTCCCTTCCAATTAAGGACACAGAGGAGAAGCATAATAGAAAGGGCAAATGGGATGCGGAAGCAGTGGAAGGTAGGTGGAGCAGCGTCCGTGTTGTAACTACAGTTCTCTCTGCGGCTCCAGATTTCTCTCTCTAGCAACACCGTGCTGTGAATCTCCTTGAGTTTCTAAGGGCAATGGAAAGTGGGCCGGCGAGCAGCCGCTCTCCATAGTAGGCCTGCCCTTCTGTAATTGTTGAATATGTCGGTGGAAGTTAATGCTCCTCCTAACAAGATTATCTTCCACGCCATGCCTGTGCAAGCTTCCTGTTTGCAAAGGTGTAGATGGCGGGGAAAGAACTGCAAAACTACGCATGCACACCAGAAGAGCCAGCAGGCAGGCAGATTTCTAGAGCTGTTTTCCTCTTGTAGCTTGAGTTGGAAGGGACCACGAGGGCCATCTAATCAAACCCACTACAACACAGGAATCTTTCATCCAATGCGGGACTCGAACCCACAGCCCTGAGGTTAAGAGCCTCATGCTCTGCTGACTGAGCTATCTGGCCTGCACCAAAAAGAGAGCCCTTGCATGCCCCAAGAATTGATTGGCAGTAGAGCTTCTTCTTTTCCCAGTAGTATGGAAGTGAGAGCTGGACCATAAAGAAGGCTGATCGCTGAAGAATTGATGCTTTTGAATTATGATGCTGGAGGAGACTCTTGAGAGTCCCATGGACTGCAAGAAGATCAAACCGATCCATTCTGAAGGAAATCAGCCCTGCGTGCTCACTGGAAGGACAGATCGTGAAGCTGAGGCTCCAATACTTTGGCCACCTCATGAGCAGAGAAGACTCCCTGGAAAAGACCCTGATGTTGGGAAAGATGGAGGGCACAAGGAGAAGGGGACGACAGAGGACGAGATGGTTGGACAGTGTTCTCGAAGCTAACAGCATGAGTTTGACCAAACTGCAGGAGGCAGTGGAAGACAGGAGTGCCTGGCGTGCTCTGGTCCATGGGGTCACGAAGAGTCGGACACGACTAAACAACAACAACAGAGCTTCTTACAGACACCCTTCGTACGCTTCTGAGTTTGTGCCCATTAAATTGCCTGGCATGACTGTTTGCCACTCACTGACAAGTTGTAACTCTGTGCTTGTTGCTTGATTGTGCTCTTGAGCCCCACAAAGGTGCACAGTGTTCCTGTCAGGTTAGGAAGGAAGGCAACTCGTAGGCAAAGACCAAAATAATGCTTCTCAGGGAGGAACACAGTATCCAAACCTCCTTCTTAGCTGGGTTGCATCCACCACAAATCCCTCCTTGAGCTGGAGCTTGATAGCTGCATCTGGTGCTATGACAGCCTTCACTGCAGAGGTTCAGAACCCGCTGTGGGCTAAATCCTGATGTAGAGTCCCATCCAGACATAAGATAAAAATTCTCACGGTGGCTGTGCAGATTTCCTTGGTGCTAAGAACCAGAAAACTCGCAAGCTCGTATTCAGAATATTTCTTTTTCTTGGAATTTCTAGGTAGAACAGCTAAGTATTCACCATTTCCCGCTGTATTCCTTTCTTAAATTTCTCTAAAAGACATGCTTACAATTGCTCCTTGCGCTAAACAATAATTTTTCATGTACCAAGGTGTATAATTCCAGGTCTCTGCCCAGAGGCAACCCAGTAAGTACAGCTAGACCTCAATCTACTGAAATCAATCCCAGCTGTGTTTGTTTCAGTGTGTGATCTTGTATATATGAGAACATTCAGACCCCGATCGGTGCCTTCCATTTTACTCTCACGCTGCATGTTCAAATAAACTCTTCAGCGTTAAGAATAGGTAATCAATCACAGTTTGTTCCCTTTTCTTAAATCGGAGGAAATCCTAAGGAAAAACCGATACTAATATAACTTTATGGCTGAGAATTAAACACACACAGAGGACAGGAAATTAAGTTTCGTAGCTGCTGTACCTTTGGCTGCATGGCACGTAAAACGCCTTAGAGGGAAATTCTGCTCTGTGATCATACTCTGGCTTCTGACCTTGATAGTTTGCTCCAGGTATACATTAGAGGTTCACTGATGTCAGTGGAATGAACTGCTCATGTAAAGAAAGCAGCATGCCATAGATTTAATGGGGAAGTGTTTGCCTTGTAGGACATGATTTCTTTCAGAAGGGCAGAGAGCCCACAAAATTCATCACAAACTTGCAAGTGCCAAGAATTGTAACCACTGATGATTTATGCTGCAAATGCAACCAACACCATGGTGGGTTGGTTTTTTTGTTTTGCTGTTGGTTCTGCTGATTGGTTATTTTTGTAAACCTAAACCATAAATATAAATTTAGTAAATTACTTAGAGTCTTAGGTGTTGGTGGACTGCATTAGCACTACCCAGCATGTGGCAGTAGTCAGGGAGGATGGGAGTTGCCCGCCAGATTTTTATGGAGTACAGCAGATTCGTACCCCGTGAGCTGGATCCTTCTGACTCTCTCTATGTGGTGCCCTGACTGTTTGCCTAATGCCAGCCACACATGCTTCGATTAGTGCAACATTTCTTCATCCTTGGATCCCTATATGTCAATGCACCCACCCACCAGCATATTTCCAAACTGCAGCTATTATCATAATTATTTATTAAATTTGTATACCACCCTTCACCCAAAGATCACAGGCCAGTTCGCAACATAAATATGCAAAATAAGAACACAAAATACATAATAAAACAAAAGCAAAACAAACCAGTAGCCCCCATTGTAAAGGCAATAGAATGTTAATCATTCAAATGGCTGGTTTAAGGGAAATGTTTTCACCTGGTGCCTAAAGATGAAAGTGCCAGGCGAGCCTCCCTGGGGAGAGCATTTCACAAATGGGAAGCCATCACAGAGAAGGCCCTGTTTTCATGTTACCACCCTCTGTACCTCTCAAGGAGGTGACACGAAAAAAGGCCTGAGATGGTGATCACAGGGTCTGGGTCAATTCATATGGAGAGAGGCGGTCCTTAAGGTGCTGTGGTCCTGAGCCATTTAAGGAGCTATATATGCCTTCATGGAGTCTTTAGCGTATTATTTATTTATTTATTATTAAATTAAATTTGTATACCGCCCTTCATCTGAAGATCACAGGGCAGTTCACAACATAAAAATACAAAATGAGAACACAAAAAGCATAATAAAAGAAAAACAAACCAATAACCCCTTTTCCCACAATCACATTTAAAGGGCCATAGAATGTTAATCAGCCAAAGGCCTGGTGTGTGTATTTTGATTTATTACCACTCTGAGAAGTGGCTAAAGCCCCTGACCCAAGATCACCCAGCGTGCTTCTTAACTAAATGCGGATTTCAGCCTAGATCTTTTGCCACTCACTCTGTTCCATGCTCGCATTTTTAAGAACAAGTACAGAAAAGTAGTGACATCAGGATGTTCAAGTCCAACGTTAGCCTCCGTTAAATGTGTATCGGCATAATATTAATTTGTCTTGGAGCATAACAGCACCAGTGTCAGGCGACCTCAGTATCCTTTTGACTGCTTTGAAATGCTTTTAAAGGAATATCCAGTAGTTCCTCCTCCCCTGCCCTCCCAGTACAGTAATAGTTCACTTACTATGCCAGAACTAATATAAACGATACTATGCAAAAATTGTTTCGTAGATATTTAATGGCTTTAGTTAGTCAGAAATAATGGAAGCCCCTTCCCCATGAAATTCATTAAAGCTTGAGCTGGAATACTTTCTTGAAAGAGCTGTAAAACTTTCCTGTTAGGATTGGTATTCAGTGGCCAGGGTTAATCGGGTGTGGAATAATCTTTATTTAATTGGCTATTTTGTGTTTTATTGTTTTGCATGTTCATTTAATTTCGAACTGTCATTACTTGCATTGAGCCTCTGGGAAGAGATGGGATGGAAACGAAGCCAAGTAACTAAATATTGCAAAGAAAAATGAAAGTTTCGTTTCTTTCCTTCCTTCCTTTCTTTCCTCCTCTTTTTTTTTTTTGTATAATGTTTCCTTTAAATGGAGGATCTGTGTCTAAAGAGGGCCGTAATGCAAATTAAATGGTGACAGTAGACAGTGATGGTTTGCATTACAGCAATAGCTTTGCAGGTTCATTTCCGTTGTATATCTTACTTGAGTTATGCAAACGTGCAGGGGGAGTTCTGCAGGTTTTTCTGTATACTTTTTGAAAGACTTTTGTTTCTAAAGATGTAGAGTGAAAAGAACGCCATTTCCACACAAAGGGAAGAAATGTTTATTTTAAGAACACCCAAGTACCCTGCAACGGTATAGCTTGTTGGATTCCAGATTGCCACAGCTTCTTCACTCCGAAGATGAATGAGTATTTTAAAAGGATCCGTTCCATAGGGAGACATCCAGCTTAAAAGTTATAGCTTACATTCTCTCCAGTCCTCCTGGCATTACTTTCTCTGTAAGTTTTCTGGGGGCAGGTTTTTTTTTCTTTTAAGGGGGGGGGTGGTCTTTTTAGTTTTGCAGTGCCTATTTGTACTTGTATAATAAGATACGCTTAAATTTATAATTTTTTGTTTATGCATCTGTACTAACCAAAGATCTTCTGGAGCTCTGCCAAATAAGAACACACGGGAGGTTGGAAGATAACGTAACGGGAGCCTTGCCTGGGTCTTGCTATGACAATACTTGTTGTCGTTTTGCATTTGGGACCCAGCTAGAAACACATTGGGTGAGGAGAGAGAAGTCATATTGTTTGTAGGAAGTTTTCCAGGGATTCTCCTGCTGACATTTTCAAGCCAAGCCAAGCTAAACTTACTCCAAATCCCCCCATTACACTAATAGTTGTCACCAGAATTTATCTGGTAATCATTTAGCTTGCAAAAAGAACTCAAAGGAGATGTTACATAAGTGGTTTTGCAGTTTATTTTTATGCATGGATACCGGTAAGTAAACTAAGTTATGACGAGTTACACACAGCATGTGCAAAGCTCTCTTTTCATGTCATTGCTTCTGAACATGCAAGGAGATCCTCAGAGCCTCATAAATTACTCTTTACAAATCCTTATGTTTGTGACCTGGAGTCCAAATTTCAGCTTCACAATTCACATTGTGGAATAAATTCACATAAGCAACATTCACATCTCCTTTCGTAGCTATGCAGTTACATAGAGTTTCATGCCCGATAGCCAATTCTTCACATTCTGACTAAATGTGAACATCACACGAAATCGTGATCTGCAGTTAACCATAAGTTAAAGCTTAAAAGCATGGTTTTGCTTCCAAACGTTCAGGTACATCATAATTTGAAGATTCTAATCTCCTTTCATTGTCTGTCTGTTCAGCTCTCCTGTTTCTGTAGGACAAGCCTTCTGTAGGTTGGAGCAACAGCAGTAACTATGGTGTGTCAGAGACTGTGTTCCCAGATCAGTAATTATTGAACATTTTTAAAAAGTCAAAGTAGCCTGCACAAAACAACTTCAAAATGATAACCATTAGATACTGGCTTCAGAAAACATTTGTTTCATTCAGATGCACATATTTATTTATATATCCACATGTATCCAATTTGTTAAAGTCATTAAACAGGGGGAGTAATCTATTGGCCACTTGCTACAA